TTTTCAGAATGTTTAGGGCCTAGGCGCATACACAGAGGAAGAGGTCGGCATATCAACAGAAGTAGAGGATACACAGGCAACTGGACTCAAGTTTCTACAGGAAATGGTAACAGCCAGAATCAGTTTGATCAGTTTGGTCCTCCACCTCCAACCTATCAACAGAATACACATATTGCACAAGCATCAGCAGCTCCTACAGCCTCAGCTTTTCAGCCAATCGGAGATGCCTTCCTGCTGAGGCTACCCAGGTCATCATTCTTATGGATGCTGAGTCAGCAAGGATCACATGTGACGTCCTATAAACTAGCCCAGGCCTATTTGGAGGTGCAACCCTTAGATTCCCGAGAAGAGAAATTCCAAATGGTTAAGTTGGAAGTAACCATCTTCATAGAAGAAACACCTGTACAGACTACAGGATCTACCGTATCAGTGATGTCACTATCCTTCCACGAAATTTGTTTAAGCCACATTCCACTCTTCCCACTTGATGATATAGTAAACATAGAATGTGCAGGAGGAGAGCAATTACCATACATTTGATGTGTACAGGTCGGAATCAAGACTACAGGCCGCGGCAATGACATAAAAGGGCCTAACATGTTAAGTGATGGACACGAGGTATAATGGAAGAGTGCCGGGACTTTTTGGAATCTACATACTTTCAAGACTCCTTGACAACTGCCGAGATACAGTTGGTGTTCAGTTCAACTTCAGTTGGACGTATATGACGACACACCATTCAAACAGTGACATCGTAGGATCCCTCAAGCCATGTATGAAGAAGTTGGGATGCACCTTCAGGAACTTATATCAGTTGGAGTCATTGAAAGGTCTTATAGCCAATGTGGCTTTAATGTTGTGTTAACAAAGACGAAATGAGGAAGTGTATTGACTATCCTGTGCTGAATCTTCAGACCATTAACGATTCCTTCTTGGCGAAAATACTGTTTTCTCTGTGTTGGATATGAAGAGTGGTTATCAGCAAGTGGAAGTCAAAGACGAACACAAGCAAAGAACAGCCTTCATAGTTAGACCAATGGGATTTAACAGAATGCCATTCCAATTTTTCAAAGCACCTGCAACTTACCAGCATCTAATGGAAAAATGGCTTGATGGACAGCACTCAAATATTTGCTTGATTTATCTTTATCTTGGTGACTTGAGTTTTTCAAATGGTAAGTCTGAAACATCAGATACATTGTTTCAGCAGACGGCATCGAATCTGACCCTGAGAAAGTGCACAAGATTACAGAGTGGCCTTCCAATCCAGAAGAGGTCCAGAAAATTCTTGGTTTTGCTGGCTGTTATGGGAAATTTGTCGAGAACTTCTCGAAGATTGCCAGACCACCGTGAGAACTGATGCCAAAGTCAGCATCAAAGAAGTCCAAATCTGAGCAGCATTCCAACAGCATCGACTTGAAGTGGGGCGAAGAACAGCAAAGGGCTTTTCAGGAACAAAAGACTCGCTTGTCAACACTACCAGTGCTTGGTTATATTGATTTTTCCAAACCCTTTGAGCCCCCACATTGATGCCAGTATTTGGGGATTAGGAGCAGTGCTATACAAGGAGTAGGATGCAAGCAGGGGTTTGAACAAATCTGCGAGAAACTACTCTGCTCCTAAACTGAAGCATCTGTGTTTGAAGTGGGCAATCTCAGAGAAGTTCAACGACTACTTGTATGAGTTTGCAGTTGGCACAGAAAACAATCCCCTCATTTATGTTTTAACCGCTGATGCTACTGGTCATCGAAGGTTGGCAGCACTCTCTGCATATATTATTTATCATTAGGTACAAACCAGGGATGCTCAACATTGATGCTGAAGTTCTGTCAAGGCTGCCAGGCAGGTTACTAATAGAGGAATTATCCACTGTGAAGCCATCTGCAACGTCATCCAAGTTCCTAACTTTGTGGAAAGTGTATGCTTGTCAAAACAAGTCATAGATGTGGATGATATCGACATACACGAGGGGAAGTGTGATGTCAAACCCCAAGGACTGGAGAAGATCACAACTGAGAGATCCATCCCTGGCTACCATTATTGACCACTTGGAATGTAGCATCAGACCAGGCAGAAATCAATACACTGGAGACAGTAATATGACATCCCTCATCAAGAACTTTCCACTGACGCAGCTGCACAGAGGAGTACTTCATATAACACAACCAAGACAGCTGCAACTTGTCTTATCTAGTATATGTGGAGGTGCAGTGCTGCGCAGACAATGTTGTTCATCCAGGCAGAGACAGAACAGTTTCTCTCTTAAGGGAAAGGTTCTAATGACCAAAGACGTTGAAGTGGATGTGCAGTCCTGTGATCCGTGCACCTCTAGTGAATTTTACAACATCACAACCACATGAACTTGTTTGCATGGACATCCTTGTTGTCAACACCTTACCTATGTTATCCCACTCATATATGCAATTGTTGTTACTGTTAATCGTCTACTGTTAATCCTCCCCCAACTATATATATTCTGTACTAAGTCCCTCATTCAGTCTTGCTTGACAACGGTAGAAGGATCTATACCAAAACGTCGCTTTTTACAGTATAAAAGAAGTTGTTATCCATAAAATTGTGTCTACCTTGTCTACAAGTGTTGCGGGGATAAAGAACCCAAGACCCACCAACCATGGTGTCACTCGAAAATAGCCGCTTTGTCAGCTAGCCAAAGTTTGAGCTTAAATTGTTTGTTTGTTGTTTAATGACGGACTCAGCAATATGCCAGCTATATGACGGGTAGAGGTACTATCATTGAGAGAACAGTCGACTGCAGAAATCACCATGCCTCCCCAATAACACTTTTTCATCTAAACGTTATAAAGACGAAGTTGGTTGTCCTGAACATCTTGAGCAACTTATGGGATAAATAAACAATGGAATAAATATTTAAGAATTGACATCTTTTGCGTGTTTAGATGTATACACTTAAACACCTATGTGCGATTGCTTTATAAATAAACATATTTTAACTGTAACAACTTCACAGACTGGTATTTATCATTGAAACACAAACAACTGTAGACAACGATACAGAATCAGTGACATCTTCAGCGCAATAATGCTACATCAGCCCGAATCTTGTTATTTTCAAATCAATCATGAAAAAGTAGTTTGTAAGAGGGCAGGAGCTTAATTTATTTCTGTTTATAAACAATTGTTTGGTTAGCCATTCCAAAGTCACGGAATCACTTAAAACTTATTTATCATGGTGTATGCGTGTGCATATGATATATACAATTAGTACCAAACTTTACTTGAAGATATGTACTATGTGTTATAATTCTAGTGCTACATTTTATGTATGTGTAGCCAAATTAGGCAATGCAATAAAATATACAGATAGAGTGATGTAACAGGTAAATGTATATTAACTATGTTAAATTATTACTCAAAGTAATCACCATTTAGATGTTAGTATGTTTTGACACATTATGTGTTTTCACATCTACAAAAAAACAATAGTACCATACCAAGATTGTGTTATAGTGTCTTTTTAGAAGACCAATACAATTCAACGTTTATATAGCCAGTCAACAAATTAATATTTCAGTTTCTTAACTGACTTACGAAGAATCACCAAACTGCAGCCACGTCTACATGAAGTCGCAGCTACATGGAAAAGAAGTGATATTATGTTTACAGTGTCAGCTGTTGTTCAATCTTAATATCATCCAGTCGTATGGTATGTACTTAGGCAAAAAATGCCTATATTTCACTCTGTACAATAATCAAAAGAAAGAAAGCACTTAATTCCAGGTGCTACATGCACTATCCTTAATATATAATTAAGTCAAGGAAACACGAGATGACTTAGATGTCACTTGCAGAGTTCAAACATTAATGAAAGTCAAGCTACCCGAGTATAGCTGGGATATTGCAAAAAAACAAAACAACCAAAAACAAACCCCAGAGTGTTGGCTCATCTTCAAGTGCTAGCTCCTCCCCTATTTTGGATGGTTATATTGTGATGGTATTATTCCATCTTACATTTGATATAACAGGAGATAACATACTGGATGACTTTGATATATATAACAACACTTACTCTTTTGGTTTGGCAAATTTGTACGAGATGAGATGATGGGAAACTATTGTTTTGATTTTGTCCTGATAATATGATGCTCAAGTGTTATCTAATTGAAGAGACTGCGACGATTGTGGACGCAGTTGAGTTGTACTGGAGAATCTCACTTATATTTTAGTTTAATTATAATGACCTTTAAGTGCTGCGCATTTTCGTGTGCAGCATATGAATACTTGATGATACGATGTTTCTTTATATATCATCACTTGCTTAAAGTTGTAACATTAATAGAACGTGTAATTTACCTGTGTCCTGAAGTGATAGGCATTTAAGAAACTAGTGTGTTTGTCAATGGCTATACCATAGGCCATGCAAGAGTTGAATATATCTGACATGAATGAGGTACTTGAGCAGATACAAATAAATACAGTTTCAGCCATGTACAAGTTTGTTGGTTGGTTGGTTGTTTAACGCTGTACGCAGCAATTTTCCAGCTATATGACGGCCGTCTTTAAATAATTGAGTCTGGACCAGACAATCCAGTGACTGATGTCATGAGCATCGGTCCACTCTATTCGGATCGATGACATGCATCAACCAAGTCAGCGAGCCAGACCACCCGATCCCGTTAGTCGCCTTTTACGACAAACATAGTCGCCTGTTACGGCAAGCATAGGTTGCTGAAGACCTATTCTACCCCGGATCTTCACGGGTCCATGTACAAGTACAAAACCATGTTTTTATATAAGCCATTGATTAAATGTATTATAAACGTATGACAACGAAGTTGTAGGGTAAGCTCTTATTTTGTTCTTTCTTTCTTTTTCAATACAAGAGACATGCATGCTTAAACATGCAAGTCTGGTTGTTGTATACAAACTGCACACAATACCAGCTATTCTTTATTGTCTGAACAGAGGCTGTGTTGCCAACAACAAACAAGCCAGCACCCGGGCTTAGTTACAACACAACAGTTGCAGTTGTGTTGCAGACTCGCTTGGAAGTGGTTGTGATTTGACTTTGTCGACACACAGGTATGTTGAAATCAAGTCAGTTAGCATCAGCTTCAGTTGTATGCCGTCATAGTTTTCTTTCTTTTTTGTGACAATTTTAAAGTTGACATCGGTTGTGCTTGCTTTCATTCAGAATATGTGTTATTTTATAAGAAGATGTTACGTCACTCTTTTGTACAAACTTGTGACGTAAGGTATTTCATTACAGAGGGAGGCAAATGCGAAAAGGATGGCGGAGTTAAAAAGTCCTACATCTGAGCAGCCCAAATCGAAAGTCTCATTTGAGGGTACGTTTTCTGAAGTTGTTTATATTTGCTTTTTAGTTGTCCGAGTGTAAATTAATATGAACTGTTGCGTGAAGATAAGTGGATGTATGAGTCGGGCTGAACTCTTGTTTCAACAGATTTTCAACATTTCAATAATGTAAGAGGCAAACCAGAAAAAAATGATGCAGGTCCTCGGCGTTTACCACTATGAACCTATGCGGTCCTTATAAACAGGGAGTCACAAATTATCCACGAATCCTGGCACGTCTGAAGGAGGCCCCTTAACACACCAAACACTGCCGCTACATAACAATAAAGAGGGACCATTTTATCACATATTAGATTTTCGTAAAGATACGAACATGTGCAAATAAATGTACATGTATACTCACAATATTTCCGGTTTTATGATTGTATGACTGCTTCGTTTGAGATATCACGAATACTGTTAACTGTACATGGCAAGGTTGCCATTCATATTAGTTGAGTTCATTAGTCAGCCAGAAGAATAATTGCAGGTGTTATGTTTGATTCATTAATACAACATTTTCACTCTTGTCCCACAGTTACCATGGATAATGATGAATTCGAAATCAAATACAAAGACATCCCCACAAGGGCTCACATCTCAAGATGGAACTGTGAGGTTGTTCCTGCGACATTTGACCTCCGAATTCACAGAGAACTGTACACGATTAGGGGGTTACCAAAAACATTTGCTGACTGCCTCAATGTTACCCTTACAAGTATACGGAACAGGAAACAGTGTTTGATATTTGCATTCGGACATGACACTCTTGTCGATGCTGTTGAGATGGTCAATAAGTTCGTGGAAGTTAAGGAAACACTTTTAAAGTTCATTCGCGAGATTTATTCAAAAGTGAAAGACATGAGTTTGAGGTGCTGGGTAGGAGAGCAGTACAGATCCTCAGAGCAGGACGTCAAGAATATAGGTACTTTATCTTGTGAATATAACTGAAGAAACATTGTACATGTCACTAAGAGTTGGTACATCTCTCGCGTGTGAAAACAAAAGAAGAAAAACAAAAAAATACTTAGTGCACATAACCCCATAGATAATACGAACAAGATTAAGAGTGCATGGACTAAATAATATGGATAGGAACATTCCCTACTGTCGATAAGTTTTCATTATCTGCATTTGGCACATATCTGAGATTCAGACTAGATAACAAGTTCAACTCATCCGCTGGCTTTACAGCTCTTCCTGATCTAGTGACATAGTGCTTAATGTTTGAGACTTCTGTCTTTGCTGGACTTACTGGCTGACTTTATTATTATTATCACTGCTTTCTTGATACGGACTGTTAGCCTTGTTCTGACACTACTGTTACTAATACACTGAAACTGGCACATGAAATATGTAGTTGTGAAACTGAAGATTTGGTGTCTTTTGAGGTTTTGTGTTTCTGAGTTGTTGTCTATTTCTCTGGTACTTGGTGCCAGCTTCTTCAGTGATCTCGAAAGTTCTGCTGTCAACTAACAACTGATGGCTTCCATTCATTGTTACCTGTGTTGACTGGTTGCATTCTCACTTGTTCTCCTATTGTCAGTGGCTTTAGTTATCCGCCGACATCCTTTCTGAAAGATGCCATTGCTTTCCGCCTGTCAATAACATACTTTTGGCTGCTGGATACAGAGAACCTTCCTTTAGCAGTTGGTGACATGGTTTTAGTTTGCTTCTGTACACGACCAGTTTCAAAGCCTTCAGTTGGAGTATTTTGCTGGTTAAGCATACCAATGCAGGGGGCCTCTTTACATGCCTTGCGTTTCTTTATCACGATTTTTACCCGTTTTTACAGCTGCTTCTCTGCCATTCGATTTGCTAGTGCCAGGGCAGGACTTGTCGTGTGTGAATCCCCACTTTTGAGCAAAACGTCTGAATTGTGGGCGACCATCTGGTATGAAGGTGACTTGACATCTGTATCTGGCAAAGTGGGTCTTGAGTTTGTTTGTAACCTCGGATTCTGTGTTCTCACTAAGGTAGACAACTTCACACAATCTACAGTAATCATGTGGTTGTAACCTTGAGGTCAGAAGAGGCACAGCCTACTGTCTCCCATGGTCTTTTTGGGGTTTAACGGAGACGTACAGACTCTGGATTATGTTTGTTGCTGTCTGTCGAACAAACAACATAAGAGTTGATGTGTGGTCTGATGTCTGATGATGTCATATGAGTGTCCAAGAGATGCTCTCCCAAGACAGGAGTTGACACCTGGATGTCCTGGATGAACTTTTACCTTCATTTCCTGATGCATAGATGTAGAAAAAAACACTCTTTCTCCACGCAAGATGTTGCTATCTTGTACAGTGAGCTCATCGCGAAATGGATAATAATAGTATAACTGAAACACTGTAACACTGCCTAGTCACCTTTCATTATTGTGTCCATTAGCTGAATGAGTGTTGTGTCCTGTTGTTTCTTGTTGTGTTGCACACTGGATACTGTCCAACTGGTTGGATTTGATTGCACAGCATGTCACATTGTTCACTTCAGTGTATTCTGTTGTTGAACTCGGGTCAGTCTAGAAGTGTACTTCACCATTAAATTTATCTATCTCCAAATCCCACAATGGGTTGTACATTTCATCAAATCTAGACTGGCTTGATAATACAGCTGCAACTTCCATGTTGTCTCTCCTGACATGAATCAGTTTCATGGCCACTGCAGTTTCAATACCAAGTAATCGCATGAAGTATTTTATTAAGTTGATTGAGTGAACTGCTTCCTTCTTTAGATTGAGTACAGCTGCTTGATAGGTACCTAAAAGAGTGATCACTCGATTGCTGTCTTATTCCACATGAGCAATACGCGATCTTTAGTTTTCCGAGTAAAATCTGTCAGCTTCCTCTGAGGGATAATATTGGAGGTTGCTCCCTCCCGAGTCAACAAGAAATACTACTGCCATGTTCTCCACTATCATTCTGCATTTGTTAGGTTCGTTGGTTCAATGCTCATCACTATGGGTCATTTCCACTGTGCAGATCCTGTCGTCATTTTCAGTGTCAGCTCTTCTTCAACAGCATTCACTGTCACTGACTTTTGACATTTCACTGGATAGTAATTAACGTCCACCACATTTGATATGCATTTTCACCTATGTCGGGCAAACGCTTTTCTTCATTTCATGTGTTTCTCTACAAAACTTGCAATCAGCAACCTTTGGTTTATCAGTTGACTGACTGTTTTTTTTCATGTTTATCAAATTTCTGCTTGTATGCCCTACTTGCAACATTTACTACATCTGCGTCAGATCTGTATGCATAAAAAACTGCGTGTTTGCGTTCTCTGCATCTTTGAAAGTGTCAATACATCTCTCAATGTTAAGGTTTCTCTCACTCTGTAATAACTGTTGTGTTGACTGGTCACGAATACCTAGAACAATTCTGTCTCTGAGTTTAGATGGAAGATATATGGGACAATAGTGGCATGTCTCAATTTGTGATCTCAGATTGGCATGAAATGTCTCAAATGTGTCACCTTTATCTTGCACTGTGCTGTAAAACCTATATCTTTCAAAGGTTTTATTTTTTCTCAAATATTTCGTTCATAGTTCTTGTGTTTTCATCACTAAGTCTGTCTTGTAAACTCAAAACTGTTGTAGGAGTTTAGTGCTCCATCGCCAAGAGGGCTGAATAGAATGGCCACGTGATAGTAAGGACTATAGGAAGATATCTTCACAAGCAATTCATAATTTCTCCATTTCTGCTTGAATAACTTCCAGTTATCAACAGCACTGTCATCTAATAGAAGGGGGTGAGGTGGTTTTACACGCGATAATAATTTTAATAGCACTGGTTTAAATGTCACCCATTTTCACCATCGCCATGGTCCACTCTCGTTCATGAATAACACTGATACAAGACATGGCAATGACAGTATTGTATACAGGTAATGCACGTTACAGTGTGTGTAACTGTAGCTGTAACGGCCAGAACCAGCAATAAAACACGTGGTTAAGGTCAGTGTACGTTTATTTTCCAAACTTGTCTTGCACTAGACATGCATTCTCTCAAACCATCAATTATGTCATCCAATCGTAAGGCAACATCACTTTGTTTTCAAGGCAGTTACAACAACCTGCAACCTAAGTGATGTTGTTAAACCGGAAGTGCTTATGGTTTAGTTATTGAGGCAGCTAGAGTGATTGAACTTTCTGTTCCAAAGTTTTTGCACTGGGCATGTATTTGCCTAAATGTAGAACGGATGTTGTGAAACCGGACCTACTTGTAACTTTGTTATTCAGTCAGTGAAAGGCTTGAGACTTTCTGTTTCAATGTTGTAATGTATTAGGCGGGGTTGATGCAATTAAACTAGAGCTGAGCTACAATCTGTAAAATGGAAGCATAGGACTAAACGGTGCTGCATTACACAACCTCCTGGATCAAATATGAACACATAATTATTTGAGCATGTGTGTCATACTGAATTTGAAGTGTTGGGAATCTTGTATTTCCCGATCGAGAGAGATTGAAATACATGAATTCTTACACGAGCGTCATGAAATCAGTACGTGCATATGCCAATGTGATAAATTCCTTATTACCCAATATTTTTTATCCTTTTGATGAGTTCCTAATTTCGAAAAATGCACTGTTCACGACCGTCGTCGATTTCATTATTTTTAATATCCATGATATCAGAGTATAGATCGTAGTAACACACAACTAATTATTGTTGACAGGTATGATAGAAATCATTGTCAACTGTCTGTGAACAGAACCTATCTGCGTTGATTATTTTCAGTTTCATTTCCATTTATCACCAGCACTCAACACGAATATTACTAAAGCGAGATATAATTCCCTTTCACCGCCTCTGATGTCAAATGTTTTGAAAATTTACAGACAAAATAGAATCATCATAGTAATAAAATAGGAAGAGTCAATATATGAATGAAACTCCTCAGTTTGGGGTAGTAAGTTTCCATTAAAATGTATCCGTTTTGATACAATAAATGTTGTAAAGGTCACTTTTAGACAGATGGTTTTTTATATTTTTCTTTGAAGGTGAAACGAGAAACAAGAGCGAGTCGGTATTGTTTTTGGCACCTGGTAAAAGTGATGGATATAAATCAGAAACACACTGGTTTTGCAAACTTGGTCAAGATGAATTTGAAATGGACCTGACATCATCAAACGCAACATTTACCAGCTTAAAGCATATGCTTGAAGATACATATCGTTGTATATTGAAACGCGTGCGGCGAGGAAGCTTCATATTTGAATGCAAGCATGAGTCCCGGGAGAATGCTGTCAAGATGATGAAGGATCATGCGAAGGTCAAGGACACGATCTTACGATGTCTTCACGACATGGATCCTCGTGTCAATGCCATCAGGGTAGATGTCGAATATAGAGAAGATCACGTGGAAATTGGTAAGTCATCCGGTCTTACAAGATAATCATACAGCAAGTTGCATGCACGTGTGTTTGTGTATGCAGTTGTGCATGATTATGTATGAGTATGTGTATTGGTCGGTGTATATACGTTTGGAGTACGAGATGGTGAAACTGGAGGCGATTAACCGTGTGATGTTGTCTATGGAGAGGGAAGCGTCTAACTAGTCAATGCGGGTCTGTAACTTGCTTTGTAGAATTTGGACGGCTGCTTGCTTGAGTTATGTTGGTGTAGAGGTCAACTACATCTCAGCTGACCATGCGACCTATGAGCTTAGCTTCCTTATGTTTGGGGCAAAGGTACTGGAATTGCTGATGTAGGATATTCCTCCTTTTCCCGACGGTGCTGGTACTTTGGCAAGGTGCCGGTCTGTGTTGTAGACCACTGAGTCTCTGGAACACACAAGTAATCTGGATTTTGACAGTCGCTCTGGCATAAGGTGGCTGCGAGTTTATGGGGTTCAGTTTGTTAAATACAGTGTTATTTATTTCTTGGAGTTCTTCGATGGTTTACTGGTACATGTGTTGCCTTTCCAATTTAGCTGTTGTGACTTTTTTTGAGAATTTTGTAGGTATTGGTGTCTTCTACAGATTTGCTAACCAGCTGTATTAATTCGGGTGTATCCAAGGTGACATCAGCTTTACCCTTGTCAGTCTCTGGGATGGTGATGATCTTATGGTACTTTAATTCTGTGATGGCAGAACTTCACAATAAATGACACTGCATTCAACAACCTTAACCCAATAAACTAACCATTTTAAATATAAAAAAAATAAAGTTTTAAAGATATAGTGAAGTCCAGCATTTCTATTTTAAAAACGAGCTTGAATAATAAGAGGGAGACATTAGTGCTTACGACTATAAGTTACCTACGCATCAGTGACAATTGGAGTCAGTCTGACAGAATGTGGCTTGACGCCACTTGTACCCACAGACATTCTACTCAATGACCACAATCAACCTTCTCCCCTAAACGTTGACAACTGGTGTCGTAACAGATTTACAGTGATCGGGGAGGTTGGGCTGCTGTCATGCTACTGATGAATGGGTGGGGTCGGATGTTGTCATCTTGCTGGTGAACGTGTCGGGTCGGCTGCGGTCATGTTACTGATGAACGGGGAGGCTGGGCTGCTGTAATGCTGCTGATGAACAGGGAGGCTGGGCTGCTGTCATGTTGCTGATGATCGGGTCGGGTCATCTGCTCTCATGCTTCTGATGAACAGGTCGGGTCGGCTGCGGTCATCTTGCTGATGAACGGGTCGCCTCGGCTTCTGTCATGTGATTGATGAACGGGTCGGGTCGGCTGCGGTAATGTTGCTGATGAACGTGTCCGGACGTCTGCTGTCATGTTGCTGATGATCGGGTAGGCTTGGCTGCTCTCATAATGCTGATGATCGGGTCGAGTTGGCTGCTTTCATGTTGCTGATGAACGGGTCGCCTCGCCTGCTGCCATGCTGTTGATGAACTGGTCGAGTCGGATGCTGTCATTTTGCTGACAATCGGGGAGGGTGGAGTGCTGTCATGTTGCTGAGAATGGGTTTGGTTGGCTGCTGTCATGTTACTGATGAACGGGTGGGGTCGGATGCTGTCATGTTGCTGATGAACGGGTCGGGTTGCTGATGATCGGGGAGGCTCAGCTGTTGTCATGTTGCTGAGGAACGGGTCGGATGCTGTCATGTTGCTGATGATGGAGTAGGCTGTTGTTATGTTGCTGCTGAACGGGGAGGCTGAGCTGCTGTCATGTTGCTGATGAACGTGTCTAGACGTCTGCTGTCATGTTGGTGATGAGCGTCTTGGTTGCTGTCATGTTGCTGTTGGTCGGAAAAGCTGGATGTCTTAACGAGGATTTAAACCTCTACGTACATTAGATGAGGCCATTAATACATTTTGCCTGAATAGGATGGTTTTCTTGAAATTTCTATTGTAATTACTCTTCCTATTTCAGTCTATTTCCTGAAGTTCTGTTCCTATTGATTATTCTGATTCCGTCCTAGTATCGGCAAGGGTGGTTACTGGAATTTTACAGTCAGTTAAGATGTTCGGCTTTGAGCCCTAATAAAACCGATGATTATAATAGTGTTGTCGGCCATTCTGGCTTGGAGCCCTATTTAACGCATTCTTATAAGATATATGTAATACCCGACCTGTGTAAGACACATTCCTTGATATTTTCATAACTTGTCAAAAGGCGTAGAAATACAAAACTTATTGTTTCCCCGAGATGAACAGAACACTATTCACATTGGTTGTATTTTAGATCCTCCGCAGTTGCTTGAAACTGGTCACCAAGCCAAGGGATACGTGAATAAAGAGGTAAACACGTGATTATCAGGAATCATATGAATGGCATACTGCCAGCAAGTAAATTGTATACTAGTATGTGAGCCTTTAAGTCTCAAACACTAACACACACGCACACAGACTCACACACACACACACACACGCACACGCACACGCACACGCACACACACACACACACACACGCACACACACACACACGCACGCACGCACGCACACACACACACGCACGCACGCACACACACACCATTATAACAGAATATTAATTAGTCGGTTTCTGATGTTTTAGGTATTAAGGTATCTTATATTTAAGTTTGCAGTGTAAAATAAAACGTAATTGCATTCGAAAATACGAATATTTGATTTACATGTTGGAATTATTATACAGGACAGAAACGGGGTACTTATCGAAATACGTTTGAATTTCTTAGGAATTTGACCGAATTGTAGCAGCCCTGCAGCAAAAGCAATCGGAAACATTGGAAAAACTGAACGAGCTCAAACAAGCACAACTGGCAGGTATGTGTTGAACATCATGTGTTTGGAACATTAAAACTGTATTTGTAATTATAACGACCTGATAGACATAATTGTATGGATAACAACTTTTTAATACTGTGAAAAGCGACGTTTCGGTATAGATCCTTATACCGTTGACAAGCAAGACTGAATGGGGGTACTTACTTACTTACTTTGGAGATTTAACGTGCACTTTCCGACTGATGCGTATTTCGCACACGGACCCGGCCAGACCATTTAATGTGTTTCCGAAAGGGGCGAAAGTGGTCTGTGCAACCCAAGAGGGGGGTTTTAGGGGTTGCTTATATAGAATTTGGGAATTTTGAGATTTGGAATAGATGCCGATGGGATTGGGGAGGAGAACTAAGGGAGCTGGGTATGGTGGATGTTTGTTTGTTTATGTGATTTTGATTTGGTAGGTTATTGTGTTTTTAGATGCGTTTTATTAGTTCCGTTTTTATTAAGAATACGCCTAAGGCCTTGAAGTTTTCTAGTTTATTTTGTGGTTTTAGTATTGCTTTTAGAGTGAGAGCCTTGTTTAGATTCAGAGTGGTTTGTAATGCGGTTCGATGTGTGAGGTAGTGTGTGCAGTGGATGAGTGCTTGTTCTGGGGTTTCTAGTTGTTTGCAGTGTGGGCAGTTACCTGTAGTGTGTTTTTTTTATTTTTGTTAGGTGGTTATTTAGGTTGGTGTGTCCTGTTTGGAGTTTAGTGATTACTCTGTCGATTTTTTTTGATGGATGGAGAATTTTTGGTTTGGTTAGTGGTTTGCCGAGCACTTTTTTGATTTGGCTATTTGAGTTTAGATATAGTTTATGCCATTTTATTGTGATTTTTTGCTTGTTTACACTTTTAATATCTGATTTTGAGATGGGTAAGTTTAAGCTTAATTCTGGGATTTTGAGGGATACTTTAGCTGCTTTATCGGCGTTTTCATTACCGTATATTCCTACGTGGGCGGGTATTGTTTGCCTGCCTTAGTTAGGTCGTTGGAGCTTTTATGTATTTGATTTATTAATTTAGGTCGGTTTTTGGTATTTTTGTTTTGGAGGGCTTGCAGTCCACTTAGGGAGTCGGTAAGTATTAGGATTTTTTTTGTAGTTTTTGGATTCTTGATTATGGAGGGCTGTGGCCATGCCCATTAGTTCTGCCGTGAATATTGATTGGTTATTTCGGAGTCGGAAGGATTGTGTGGTTTTAGATGGTTGTGTGGTATGGACTCCGAAACCCGTGTGTTTGGAGGTCGGATCTGAGGATCCGTCCGTGTAAATGTGACACCAATTTGGCCAATTTTCGTGTATGTATGCTAGTGTGGAAGTTTTAACTATGTTTGGGTCGGTTTGTTTATTTATTTGGCTAGCTAGTGTTGTGTGTATTTTGGGTATTTTAAGTTTAGGGGTGAATATATTTGATTGTTTGCAGTTTTGTTTAAGATTTGTAATTTGGTGTTCATTTAGGTAGTTTGTTATTCTTTGGGATATTGGGGTAAGTAAGGGGTGTTTACGAGCTAGAGCTTGGTTTTTAGGGCTGATGTTTTGGTTTATTAAGTTTTGGATGAGAGGGTTTGATTGGGACGAGGCCCAGAAATTTAAGCTTAGCTGTTCCCTGCGTAGACTTAGTGGCATTTCTCCTGTTAAAGCCTGAAGTGAGGTGTAGGTGGTGCCATGTTGGGTGCGTGTAATTAGTTTGAGAGCCTGATATTGTATTGAGTCAAGTTTTTTAGATAGAGAGTTGTTTAGGGTGTTGTATATGGCACAGCCGTAGTCTAGTTTTGATCTAATTAGTGATATGTAGAGAGAGAGGAGAGTATCTTTGGAGGCTCCACAGTTAGAGCCAGTTAGGCATCTTAGGGTGTTTAGGTCTTTACTGCATTTAGTTGTTAGGTTTTGTATGTGAGCATCCCAGGTGAGATGTTCATCGAAAATAAGTCCTAAGAATTTGGTTTGTTTTTTAAATTTGATTGTTTGATTGTTTAGCTGGAGGATTGGGGAGGCGGGTTTCATGTTTTTATGTTTGAATACTATTCCTGGGTTTTTTTCTGAGTTAAGGGAGAAGCCCCATTTGTCAGCCCATTGTTGTATTTTATTAAGAGATTTTTGGAGTAAATTTTTGGCCATTTTCATACTTTTAGTGCGGATCCAGATGGCTCCATCATCCGCGAAATTTGATGTGTTTACTTTAGGGGATAGGCCCTCGAATGGACGTTTATCATTATATTGAAGAGGGTGGGGCTGAGGATACTGCCCTGTGGAGTGCCATTTTCTAGGGGACATTGGTCCGATAGAGTTTGGTCTATACCCACGGATATTTACGATTGTTTAGGAAGTCCTGGATGTAGTTTATTATCTGACCTTTGAGTCCTATTTTTTTAAGTTTTTGTATTAGCCCATCGTGCCATACCATGTCGAAAGCTTTAGAGAAGTCTAAGAAGATGCCTGTGGTATATTGTTTATTTAGTTGTCCTGTCTTAATATCTTGTTCTTGTCGGGCGAGGTTATCTAGGGTTGAGCGGCCAGGAGTGAAACCGCTTTGAACTGGGTTTATGATGTTATTTTGGGTTAAGTAATGTTGTAATCTATTTTTAGCCATTGATTCCATTACTTTACATAAGTTTGAAGTTAGGGATATTGGTCTATATGAGTTAGCTTGATTAGCTGGTTTAGGGATTGGTATGACTAGGGCCTGTTTCCAGGGAGTAGGAACCTGTCCGTTTAGGTAGATGAGATTGTATAGTTTGAGTAGTGCCTTGAGTAGATTTAGGGGGATTTTTTTTAATTATTTGGTAAGAAGTTAGGTCTAATCCTGGGGCTGTGCCCTTTTTCCTGTTTTGGATTACGTAGAGGAGCTCCTCCATTGTGTAGGGTTGATTTATTTCTAGATTGTTATTGTTTGGTTCTTTTGTGGGTTTGTTTTCTGTTTTAAGTTTATCTTGGAATTTTTGGCTGAAGTTGGTGTTACTGCTAACGGCCGAAAAGTGGTTGGCGAGATTATGTGCTTTTTTTGGCGGGGTTGGTTGAGTTGTTAATGTTAGGGGTTTTTTATGTCGTTTTAAGCCTCTAATGGCGCGGATTTTGCGCCGGACCGTTCTGGCATCTGTATGGTTATTTAAACCTTCGCAGAATTTTTTCCAGTCTCTACTTTTGGCTATTTGGACTAGTTTTTTACCCTGGTGGTTTAGTTCGTAGGCTATGTTTAAATATTTGTAGTCGCGTTTTGCTTTATTGAAGGCTGATTTACGTTTTCATCTAGTCTGTTCTATTTCCTCATTCCACCATGGTACCGTCAGTTTGCCTGTCTTAGATGTTTTGAAGGGGATGGAGGTTTTGGCTGCGTTTATTATATAGTTTGTTAGGTTTTTACAATAGGTTTCTGGATCATTATTTTCTATTTCGTTTAAGTTAGCTTCGTTGCAGATATCTTGGAATTGGTCCCAGTTAGCTTTATTGTAATTGAATTTATTATTTTATTTCTTTCTTGGTTTTCTGTTTGGATTGGTACGTTTGTATTTCCTATGGTTATGTTTATGGGGAAGTGGGACGGGACGTTGTGCACTTCCCATTGAGTGCTTTGGGCTAGATCTGCGGTGCATATGGTTAGGTCGATAGCCGACATTTTTTGGTTTATCTTATCGTACCTCGTGGGTTGGTTGCTATTAAGGAGTACTAGGTCGTTTGTTTCTATCCATTCGGAGATTAATTTGCCATGATTATCTATTTTATCATCTATGCTCCATGTAGGATGGTGAGCCTTAAAGTCTCCTAGGAATATAGTAGATTTATCGCTTATTTGGAGTAGTTTGTTTAGATCCTCAGGTTGGACTTTTTGTTCCGCCCAGTGGTAAATATTTATGATGTTTGTGTGTGGTTATTTAATGTGATTTTAATGCCGTTGGCTTCTAGGTTTGGCATGTCTATTTTTATTTCTTCGTAATTTATATCTTCCCTGATAAATATGGTTAGTTCTCCTGCGTCTTTTCTTGTTTTAGGTTTAGCTCTGTCAGTTCTAACTGAGTTGTAGTAAGGTAGTGTGAATTTGGATTTTTTTCAAAAATTTGGTTTCCTGTATACAAGCGATGTGAGGGCCTTTATTTAGTTTAAATTTAGTTTTTAGTTCATGGCCGTGGGCGGTGAGTCCGTTGGCGTTCCACTGAAAAATATTTAGTCCTTCAATTATTGGTTTCGGGCGATTAGTGATTTAGTTTTTATTTTATTCGGTGAGTTCTTTTAGATGGAGGTTAAGGAGGAAGAAGGGAAGATCGGTTAATTTTAGATTGAAAGCTACTTTGTGGAAGGATTTCATACCAGCTTTTGGTGAGTTTTGACTATGCATGTATGCTAGGAGTAAGGTGAGGTTATTTAGGTTTTGGGTGTTGGCTGGTTGTGAAGTTTGGTTTTATTCAGTTGGAGTAGTGTCTATTGTTTCCTCAGTAGTGGAGAAATCTTCGTCATCGGTTGGATTAGGTTTAGCTGATTGAGTTTCCATGGGGGAGGCATATGATGTGGAGGGTTGTGAAGGTGTTTGCGGGATGGGTGTAGCTGATGTTTTCTTAGTGTTTGTGTTTTGTTGTTGTGCTTGCTTGTGGGAGAGTGTTGTTGCTATATGGGCTGTAGGGTACTTGGATGAGGGTCTTGTTGTGGTGGCCATTTTGAGGTTTGTTTTGCATGCGGGGGTTGATGTTTTGGCTATGTGAGATGTGGGAGGGTTCGTGGTTGGTTGAGTGGCTGCTTGTGTGTGTGAGGTGGGTGCGGTTTCTCGGTAGGGGTCCCAGACAGAGCTGTCGGTTATGGGTGTGGTGTTTGTTTGTGGGGTGGTGTTTGGGTGTGGTGTAGGGAGGAGTGGTTTAGATGAAGGTGTAGCAAATGTTCGTGTTTGGATTTTAGCCGTGTCTATGTTTATGTGTTTGTTGGCCTGCTGGGTGAGTGTGTGTCTGTGTGGGCATTGGTTTGAAAGTGAAATGTGTTGGGTGGATTTGCAGTGGATGCACCAAGGGGGTGCATGTGCCTGGGCAGTTTGTTTGTGCGCATTTTTTACATTTAGTTTTGGGGTATGTGCATTGGGAAGCAGTGTGGTTGTATTTGAGTCACTTTGAACATTGTTTAACCTGCTTTATATAGGGTTTGACTTCTAAGTTGGTGTGGGCTCCGAAGGGTATGTGTTTGGGGGCTTCAGGGAATTTAGCGGGTTTTTTAAAGTTGATTATGACAATGGAGGTTGGGACCGTTTTTCCGTTTCTAGTTGAGTATAATTGTAAGTCCTCAGTTGTTTCCCTTGGGTAAACCCTAATTACGCCTCGTGTATATTGTTGCCAAGTAGGTGTTTGTTTGATTACCGTGACGTGGAATATTTGAGTTATTTTATTTGCTGCGTTGTAAGATTCTCGGTTAGGAAAGATTATCTGTTATCCTTTGTTGGGTTTTTTAATATTGTAATAATTTATGTCCTATTTTATCTGTCGAAAGTTCCAGTGAGAGAGTGGTGCCTGAGCCTTCTGAGAAGAAGTAGAGGGCGAAGGTGGTGAGGAAGGCGGCCGGGGAGGGTGTTGGCGATGGAGGTGGAGAGGATGTGTCGAGTTTGCGTTTTTTGGTGTTTTGAGGTGGCGAGTTAGCTGGTTTGGTTGGGGGGGGGGGTGTCGTGTTTTCGCCATACTCGGTCGGGACGATGTTTTCGAGTGACCTCCCAGAAGTGTTGTGCGCTTCCGCAGGCGTGGGTGAGTAAGGAGCTGGAATGTCTGCGAGTGTGGCGTTGCGGGTGTCAGTCATATTGTTTGGGTGTTGTGTTGGAGAGTTGGAGAGCGTGTTTTGTGGTGAGTGGTGTTTTGGGGAGGTGAGTTGGTTTGTTGTTTTAGGAGGCGGAAGAAGTTGCGGTGGTTATTTGTTGTTGGTTTTAGTAGGAGGGTTTGGGAAATGGATTAATTATTGAAGATTTAGTTTGATTCTGGAAGGCTGGGATAAGGTGAGACAAGTGGAAAGCGGGGATTAGGAGATATTTAGTCGAAGGAGTGGATAATATGAGTGGTGGGCGTGGGTGGTGAGTAGGAAAGAGCGTGCGTTGTGTTTAGGAGAAGGGGGATTAGGTGTTTTTTGTTTTTAGGAGTTGGGTCAAAGGGTGTGTTTGAGTTGTGGGCGTGGGTAGTGAGTAGAAATGAGTGCGAGCTGTGTTAGGGAGATTGGGGAGGATAAGGCGTTGGTTATTGAGTGTTGTTGTTTTTTAAGGATTTAGGGGTTTTGTGATTAATTCGGTGAGAGTGATTTTAAGAGTATGTGAATAAGGATAACGTGATAATTACCGATGATGGAGTTTCCTTGGCTGGCTATCAGGCAATGCTCTGTGCTGGCTTGGGAAGTGTTGCTCGCTTGGAGTACAAACTGCAACTGATTGTCTGGCCAAGACTCGTTTATTTACAAACCACTGTCCTATAGCTGGAACACTGCTAAGTTCGGCGTTAAACAACAAACAAACAAACGGTGAGAGTGATTTTAAGAGCATGTGAATAAGGCTGAAAGGATAACGTGATAATTACCGATGATGGAGTTCTCCTTGGCTGGCTATCAGGCAATGCTCTGTGAATGGGGGACATAGTGCAGAATAGATATAGTAGGTGGGGGATTAACAGTAACAACAATAGTATACATGAGTGGGATAACATAGGTAGGTGTGACAACAAAGGGATGGTGCTGTCACAACACGATGGGCAGAACACACATAGCTGGGAGTAAATAGGATCATGAAGCCAATAAACAGGATAAGTGATTATTGTTTTATGAGTTCATAGTAGGCGGGTGGGATGAAATAGCCTTGATCTCTGTTGATTGATGGCTTGTGGCGGCGAATGTGGACTGCTTCTGTTAGTTTTCTTTTAGTGAAATCATGGAGGTTGTTGGCGAGGATTTGGACGTTGTCCCAGTTGATGATGTGATTGGGACATTTGCTTATATGGTCCGAGATGGCTGATTTACTGTCTGGTTTGATGGTGGAGGTTTAATGCTCTTTGATTCTGGTGTTGATTGGGCGGGAAGATTCACCTACTTAAGATTGTCCACAGTTGCAGTCCTATAACGACCTCTTCATGGTCTAGAATAGTAGAAAATAGACATCACATATGTATAGAATGCTAAGGTTTCGATAGTAAAAAAAAGAAATGTATTAAATCCATGATGGGATCTCTTGTTCTGAGGTAGTGAGCTGAATGTTACATTTTGTGAATATTGTTTGCCATAAATAGGCGTGGTACTAAAGTTGGAATAGCTATATGCAGATTAATAGTTTGTGACTCAACACACGCAAGATTAAAGTGTTGACTTCTGGTTTCGCTGCAAACACAAGGATGACGATCTGGATGAAGTCTGATGCTCCTCAACCCTCTGAAAGCAGTGGATTCTGTGTGTAGAAACTACAATGCCGTTCCGCATTTTCACATGGATACTTCGCTGAGACACAGTAAACTGACTCTGAGCTGACCAATCCTTGTTTTATCCCTTCAATGCCGACCTTCTACTATCCGGGCTGACCCTCTATCCACTACACCATGGAGGCGGTCCAATGCTCTCGTTGTGTCGCTGTATTAGTGCTGAGTGCGGCAACAACAAGCGCTTTGAAGACCTGCCTGTTTACAGACCAACTGATTACATCCAAATCTTCGCTGATGTTCATGTTAAAGTAATATCTGTCAAGACACCACAAACCACGCAACTTTCAGTACACATATGCCCTAGGTTTGGAATATCATTCACAAGCATACATCTCTATTTATTTATACATATCCATGTCTATTAATGGACATCATTCCATTCTCTCTAATGAGGGGACCCTCGATGAAGTGATATCATTCCCACCTCCCAAATGAGGGGACGCTCTTTTGAGTGATATCATTCCCATCTACCAAATGAGGGGGCGCTTTGTTAAGTTGATATCTTCCCCATCTCGATGGTCTTAAATGAGTCGACGACAAGGAAATACATGCATTGGGAAAATGACTAAACGTAGACAACATTATTTGAACTTTAAATGGCGGACTTGATACTGTAGACGTTTCTGCGTTATTTGACTGTCTTGGTATCTCCTGTTTCGTGGACACGGGTGGCTCAGTCACCTAAGGGGCCGATATTCGCTGTGCTGAGCTGCGTCCCTTTGGGTTCCCTAGAAACCTAAGTTCAAATCCAAGTTCGTCCCGATTATGTTTCTAGGCTTGTCAGCACTTCGGCCTTCGTCACCTTGGGCTTTTCTCCCACATCAAGCCGACTTCGTGATGTGACTTGCATACTAAACATTTTACTAACAAATAACAGCTTAAAGAATAATTATCTGCAACCTTTCTTCGCGTATTTGAATTTAGTCCATCGAGAATCATAAACATGCGGGCCCCACCACAAGTGATCACCTGCACAGTTTGGATGTTATATGCATTGTTATCTTTAACAGTCGAAAGCAAACACCTCAATGACACCAAGTTTTGCAAACATTGAATGCAATCTAACGACTTTCCTGCATTTCTAAAAAGTCAAATCAGGTCTTTGAACTTGGCGGAATTTTGACTTTCAGTGGATAATTTCAGTGACAATCTTGTTCGTGACCAGTTGTATAACACTTCCGTTTCTTTCGGTGTGCGTTGGTATCTGTCCCTAGTGACACTTATTGTTCCCAGTGTTATACGACGGTCCCATGCCTGTAGGGAATAAGCAAATACGCCTCTGTTCGTGCGTGTGCGTGCGTGCTCGCGTGCATGCGTGCGTGTGTGCATGTGCGTGGTCGGGGATACCACTATTTGATACTAGTTTGTCAGTTAACCCAAATAGACCCATGCTGGGTAACAGATACAGCTACGAAATGTGAAGTTTACGTTACTTTATATTCGTTAATAGTAATATAAGAAATATAGAAATTTAGTGACAACATAAGCACTTAATCTTCAGTACTTATCTTTTACAGTTACAGCAACAGAAACAATAACAGATGTAAGTGAGGACCAGTTTCAGGCTACCGAAGGTAATACTATTGATATTGTGGAATATAGAATATTGGTTTAATTCCCCCTGAACTAGACAATCCATGACCAATAATTCACATCATAGATTCCACGTAATTGGGATACGACGACATGCATTAACCATGACCTCTCGATGAAGTCGCATCTTACGACAGGCACATGTTGATGGGGGTCTGTATTCACACCAGTTGCCGCATTGGTTGAATATATATGATGTAACTGGAATCCTAAATATTGTGGCGTTAAACCCAACGTACTCACTCACACATCACCTGTTTTAATTTGTTAATTTTAAAATAAAGCTGAAGTTGATATTCAAGAATACTGTCAATCTTATCAAACCTAATCAGTTCTATTTTGAAAGCTTAGGTATGCCTTTCAATGTCTGTATTCTTCCTGGAGTTCCTGGTGAAGTGCATGTTAGTTTCAGTGAGTGCTTGTGTTGATTTAATTACAAGCATATGTCTGACGTCTTTCAATTACAGATCTGTCAGAAGCTGAAGGAGGACACCGTCACAGAGGAGGTGTCAGTAAACCGCGGGTAAATCTATGTGTTATGTTTGACAATCCTACAGTAACACTACCACGATAGACATGTTTACAGTGTATCATCAGTTAGGCACACCATAGTTAGACCAGGCCTCATGTCGATAAGTTTGCAATTCTGTTAGGGAGAGATGTCGAAAATGTTAAACTTACACGACAGACAGACATGCGCTTGACGCAAAGACGTGACCTCGATTGTTTGACCCGCGAATTAATGGTCAAACTGAGTAAAAGAAATAATGCTCAAGGTCGCCAGTTACCACATACAACTCCTGTATTTCGTCACTTTACATAAAATACATGGAATCCGTTATGTAAAGACAATTTCAGAATGAACTGATTTCAGCCAAACCAAACAAAATGTCACATAATATCCGTATTACCCATTATACCGGTGGAACTTTCATTTTGCTGAGTAATACCACCTAATAAAAAGAGCACCTTATATTTCATACAAGTCACCCATGTCAAAACTCATTATTCATTTCAGCAAAAGTCTGAATCAGTTATTCGTCTGAAAAGACAACTGGCAGACCTGAAGCAAGAACTAAAGGCAACCACTGACAGGATGCACCGACTTGAGACTACACACAAGAAAGGTAACCTTGGTGATGTTTGTTTTGTGTGTTGGCGGTTGTATGCCCCCAATTCCCGGCAAATGACCTGCCAATCTATTTAAGATCTCTGAGCCTTTTATCTGACTCCATACATGCCCAAGTGCAACAAACCCTTCTCAGGTCACGTGAGGTGAACCTTCTCATCAGACAAACAGCACGGGTCAGCCACTGTCATGTTGCTGATGATTGGGCCAGCTGCTGTCATGTTGCTGATGATTGGGTCGGATGCTGTCATGTTGCTCATGATCGGTTAGGCTGTTGTTATGTTGCTGATGATCGGGTAGGCTGTTGTCATGTTGCTGATGATCGGGTCATCGACTGTCATGTTGCTGATGATGAGGGAGACTGCTGTCATGTTGCTGATGATTGGGTAGACTGCTGTCGTGGTGCTGATGATTGGGTATACTGCTGTCATGTTGCTGGTGATCGGGTAGGGAGCTGTCATGTTGCTGATGATCGGGTCATCTACTGTCATGTTGCTGATGATCAGGTAGACTGCTGTCATGTTGCTGATGATTGGGTAGGCTGCTGTCATGTTGCTGATGATTCGGTAGGCTGCTGTCATGTTGCTGATGATCGGGTATACTGCTGTCATGTTGCTGATGATTGGGTAGGCTACTGTCATGTTGCTGATGATCGGGTCATCTACTGTCATGTTGCTGATGATCAGGTAGACTGCTGTCATGTTGCTGATGATTGGGTAGGCTGCTGTCATGTTGCTGATGATTGGGTAGACATACCGTACTTCATGTTTTTCGTCGAACGATGAGGTAAGCTTGAGTCTACACTCAAAATTTCACAATAGCCAATGTTGTGTGTGCTGCTTTGCCTAAACTTGGCTTTGAAAATGTTTGCGTTCTCATAATCATTTGTTGCTAAAACTAGTTTTTTTTCATATAAACTCTTACAATGTTTCCTTATTGGTCAAATTCACGAAGGACTTAATTTGTCATGATTCGAAACCAAACACCCTCGTTAAGACCCGGAAGAAAATTGGCCTTCTGCAAGCCACGCTTGTTGTAACAGGCGACTAACGGGGTCGGTGGTCATGATCGGTGACTCGGTTGATGCATGTCATCGTATCTCATTTGCGTCGATACATGTGTCAATCACTGGATCATCTGGTCCACATCCGAATATTCATGACCTGCCGTCATATTGCTGAATTATTGCTGAGTGAGGCGTAAAACAACAAACAAGCGAACAAAACCAAAAATGAAACCAGGATAATTTGTCTAGTGCTTGATTTAAGGACCACCATTTTACACCGTCGGGGTGCGCTCCCAACCACGTGACCTGTTCACAAAGCTGTCTCAGCACTAAATTTACGACCAAAATTGAGACAGGTCAGGACCTTTTGGATGACAAACAGTCGATGTAAAACCCTGGGTGTCAATATCTATAGTTGTGTTGGAACAGTTTGGTTACACCTGAACAAAGAAATAATGGATTGTATTGCGTGATCCCTTTAAATATCAACTGACGTCATTCTATTATCATTAGAGGTTCTTGTTTTCTCAGGATAACCTAGTCCCCAGGCTACCGAAGTAGATTGTACAGAATACTCCAGGTACTTTCTATCATTCGTCCCTCAATCCAGGAACAGTAATCAGAAGGCCGCTCTCTCCACGTGGTATTCTATGGAGAGACTCTCTGTCCTGGAGATGTAGTTTGCATGTTAATCCAATCCATATAACACACATTACAATTGTGGGGTCACAGTCACAGGGATCGAACCTGTATTTTGCATGTTAATCCAATCCATATAACACACATTACAATTGTGCGGTCACAGTCACAGGGATCGGACCTGCAACCTTCGTATCTGTAACCAAGGGAGTGAACCACGCGGCGACAGAGTCGCTAATAATCCACAGAATCTCTTCCTCAAGTATGCGAGCAAGATAAATTTTACGGACGTTTCCTAACGTTCATGGAACGCGTGTTGGATACATAAAATTGTTCTGGCAGATTTTTGTTTCGACATTTGAGACAGATGAACCAATGTCCCTCGTCTTTGGTTAGAAATGTAAACTCGGGGTCGGTGATGAAAGGGTGTTCAGTTCAGACATGCTGCTCGTGTTCTTTTTTTAACGCGCTGTCCTCGAATTCGTTTTTAACCGCCAGGCTATTGTTTCCCTGTCAGGTATCCCGACGTTTGTTTTTTACCTCGTATTTCTTGTATTTAGACGGCTGATATGACAGTTAAAACACTCCCCGTCGGTTTTGATTGAAAATAAAAAATCCCAAGCTCGGGTTTTTTCTCACTAGCGCTTTTATATATTCAACTATAAATGTTAAGCTTGGCGGAGTTATGCCCCTTTTTCTGTGTGCATGTGTGTTGACCTCTTCGCCGTGTTTCGAGTGAGTGAGTGAGTAAGTTTAACGTCGCTTTTAACAGTATTCCAGTTATATCACGGCGTGTCAGCTTAATGTGGGAGGAAAGTCCGAAGTAATGCAGGTCTCAGACGTTTACCACTTCGGTGAAACCAACGAGCACGGGTATGGTGCTGACAAACCTAGAAACATAATCGGGGCGAACCGGGATTCGAACCCACAATCATAGGTTTCTGGCGTGCCCAAGGGACGCAACTCTGCACAGCGAATCGCGGAGCCTTAGACGACTGGGCCACCCGTGCCCCCATCGCCGTATTTTGACTTCATAGTGGAAAATATGTTACTGCCACATTCAACAGGTGTTGAATGTGTCACGTTCTACGTAACCACACAATTGTAATGTACGTGTTGTAATGTTGTTCAGATATAAGGCAGTATATTGTTAGCTCTCAGTGTGCATAAAGCAGTCCAATCAAACCTGTCGTTGCACGGTACTTTATCTATGTACGAATAAAAATGGCTACATTTTAGAGTTTTCTTCGTTTGCAAAACAGACAACATTTACTTTTCATTTAGAACTTTCTGATTTTCAAACCAGTCTTCAATTTTAAAACCACCGGGTAGGCAATTTAACACTAAACATCTCCGTCAAATTGCAAAGTCAAGCAGAGCCAGAGACGCGCGACAGCAATTCTCGTACACCACTCATTCATCAGTACTCATAAAAATGTGTGTCTGACAATTAACTCGGCAACCAGGGTTCTAGCGGTAATGTAATGAATGACGCTTCCAAGCATTGAGTCAGAGACCTCGCGAGATCCGAGCTTATGCAACTCGCCCCATGTGAATGCCGAATAGTATACAACTTCAGTTCGTGCAACTAATCGCATACACCAAGGTGTACCAAAATTGAAGAAAACGATTCGGCAGTATGGGTTCTGGCAACAAACCCGAGTCTCGAACCTTAAAAGATGTCTTCACGTGTATTTAAACTACCTCGTACATGAGTTGAGAAACTTAATATTTTTTTTACTTCAACGGACTGGGTTTTTTCGAAAATTTGTGGTGTAATATATTTCCATATTTCAGTCTATTTCCTTGAATAATAATATTCTGCAACTGTTTACCAGTGAGAGGCGACTAAGTGCATTGGTCAAAAGCCTATCAACCTGTGCCGGTCGTGGGAGGCGACTGAGTGCATTGGTCAATAGCCTACCTGTGCCAGTCGTGAGAGACGACTAAGAGCATTAGTCAATAGCCTATCAACCTGTGCCAGTCGTGAGAGGCGACTAAGTGCATTGGTCAACAGCCTACCTGTGCTGGTCGTGAGAGGCGACTAAGTGCATTGGTCAACAGCCTATCAACCTGTGCCGGTCGCGAGAGGCGACTAAGTGCATTGGTCAAAAGCCTATCAACCTGTGCCGGTCGTGAGAGGCGACTTAGTGCATTGGTCAACATCCTATCAACCTGTGCCGGTCGCGAGAGGCGACTAAGTGCATTGGTCAATAGCCTATCAACCTGTGCCGGTCGCGAGAGGCGACTAAGTGCATTGGTCAATAGCCTACCTGTGCCGGTCGTGAGAGGCGACTAAGTGCATTGGTCAAAAGCCTACCTGTGCCGGTCGCGAGAGGCGACTTAGTGCATTGGTCAACAGCCTATCAACCTGTGCCGGTCGCGAGAGGCGACTAAGTGCATTGGACAATAGCCTATCAATCTGTGCCGGTCGTGAGAGGCGACAAAGTGCATTGGTCAACAGCCTATCAACCTGTGCCGGTCGTGAGAGGCGACTAAGTGCATTGGTCAACAGCCTACCTGTGCCGGTCGTGAGAGGCGACTAAGTCAACAGCCTATCAACCTGTGCCGGTCGTGAGAGGCAACTAAGGCGAAATTTCTTGGTTTACGGATTTCAAACTCATTTCAAAAGTGAGGTAGGCCAATTTGGAAAAAAAAAGCCTCTCACATTTTTTTTACTTGAATTTTGTCCTAAAATGTTAGGTAGGTATGAAAAAAAATATCCTGGAGTAACGAAAGTAAAATAACTCAATTTTTCAAAAACATTTTATTATATCCCTGGCACTCAGCTTGTGCACAAATGGCAATATAACAATATTTATGTCATGGGTGGAAATGCATGAAAGCTTTTTTGGCAGCAGTAGGCGACGTTTTACTCTTTCAACACCAGCCAATCAGAAGATTACTGCTCTGACACTAAGTTCCCAGATAGTTTTGTGTGATAGATGCAGCCAACGTTTATCAAGGGAATTATCTGCTTGTGAAACATCTTTCCTACTACATGTTTGACCATACACTATTTGAAAGGTCTAATTAATCCTATTGTTCATAAATATGAAAGTTATGTGTATAACATTATTTAAATAATTCATTAACAACTTAATAAAGTTTGTTTTCAATAAAAATAATGAGCTAAAACATTCATAACGTCCAGATTAAGGACTAATGAAACGAAAATTAAAGGATTTTCGGCAAATATAAGATTTCATAAAATCCACTTACCTATTTCGTTGTTTTTTTCATTTGTTTACGTAGTCGGAAACATTATTTTAAAAAGAATTACAAATAATATCTGTCATCACCCATTTCCCGATGATTGTGGCTCTCCGCTCAATAACATGAGGAAATACCTC